CGGCACCAGACGGGACGCTAATCACTTACAACCCCGACAGTCGTTTTACCCGGTGATGTGTTGGCATTGCCAGTTTTTTTTAAATAAAATATTGATTCTTCCACAATAAAAAGTAACAGGAAATCAGTTTCCAGATAAGGTCCTAGTGGGCAGCATTATCTAACAGGCTGCACACACCCCACCCCAGCCGCGTGCCGACCTCCCGTGGCCCCTGCTGGCACCCGCAAGGCATGTTCCCATGTGGAGTCACAGCCATCACCTTTCACTTGGATGTGGAGAGAAGAAGGCTTCTGCTCCCTCATCCCCAAATGTTAGAAAAGGTCCAGGACCCAATCTGAAGAGGCAGCGTTTGTGTGGTCTATGGCAATGTTGGCAGCCATGAAGTGGGCCTAGAAGCTGCCTGGCCCCGCCCACCTGCTAGCACAGGCCCCGCCCACCTGCTAGCACAGGCCCCACCCGCCCGCCAGCCAGGCCCCGCCCACCTGCTAACACAGGCCCCACCCACCTGCTAGCACAGGCTCCACCCACCTGCTGCCAGGCCCTGCCCACTTTCTACCACAGGCCCCACCCACCTGCTGGCCAGGCCCCACCCACCTGCTGGCCAGGCCCCCAGGTCTCTGTCCCTCTGGCTGTGCGGCCTGCCTGGGGCTACCACACCCAGGACATGACGCCTGCACCCCCAGGGAACTTAAAGTCTCCGGGGCCAGAATCCTCAGCAGACGTCCCTTACTTCCCTCCTAGATCCTAGACCCTGAGCATGCATGTTGCGGCCCCTTCTGCTGTCCCAAACTGGCACCTGCTTGTGAAGCACCTTCTGCCTCCTCCATGAGCTCACCTGGGCTAGTTCCTCGGGGGCCGCTCCGTGCTTTCTGGGCCTGCTTTCCGGGGCAGGTTGTCGCTGAGCCCTGAAAACTCAAACATGGCAGTTTCTCACCTAGTGGGGCCCGGAACCCAGCCATACTTTACCATCGTGGGGAGCTGTTTCTTTGAGTGTTTTTAACACTTTGACGAGGCCGTGAAGAACAGACACACAGCGAGGGCCGCTCTGACAGCCGGGTGTAGGGGTGAGTGCGCGGCTTCTGCTATCTGGAACCAGGAGATCTCTAAGGACTTAAGACTTCTGCAAACCATCCTGGACACGCAGCCTCAACGCGGCTGCACAGAAGGCCACAGGGCTGGGGTGTGTTTATTCCCCGACGCCCACCTGGTGGGTGCAGCTGCATTGGCCCTCTGCACAGCTGAAGGTCAGGAGCTGAGATTCTGAATTTACTGGTCATCAAAATGAGAACAACAGAAATTATGATATTAGGTCTGAGAACTACCTTAGAAAACCTTTGAACTGCTTGATCCTAACTGGAAAACAAAGGTTCCGAGAAACCGCTGGAAAGGAGTCTTACGGGAAAGTGTGGTACCACGAGGAAAGCTGGCTGGCGGTGGAGGTGCAGGTGTGTTCACGGGGCCCAGGTGATGCACATGAAATCCCTCTGGGCACACGGGTGGAGTTCAATTTGAAAACTCTGGCTCCCAGTTTTACAGATAAGGAAACTGAGGCACAGAAAAAGAAATAGGGTTTGCCTGAGGTTGCACAGCCAGGTTCTGATGGACCCAGAGCTGAATTCTGTTCTTCCCACTGCACACCGGGTTAATCACTTCCATACAGCAGTATGTTAAAAGAAACGAGAGAAATGATATTTGCGTTACTGGGGAAGTAGACTCCATCTTTAATAAAACAAAAGCAGATATAAACTATGTGAACGACGAATCAGAGTCGAAGTCGGGAACCAAAGCTACGGAGGAAGCTGAAGGGCTGAGATGCTCCTTCTGGTGTCATCGGGTTGAACTGATTTGGAATTGTCTAATTTTAATATTTAATATTCCCTTTTAATATACTCTTCATTACACACCTTCCATATGCCTTTTTAATGCACCCTCTTTGTTTTAAAAATATGGTCATGATTCTACAGGTAAAATGATGTCTACATAGGATTTTAATCTATTTTTAAGCCAGTGAAACATGAGACTATTATATGTAATCTTTTATTCTGTTCATTATTTAACTATGCCTCAAAAAGGCAGTTAAAATTAAAAAATAAAGACCACAAGAGTTAACCATGTTTCGTCGCTATAAAACAAAGGGTGGGAGAAGTTTCTAATGCCCCCTAGATGCTTCTTCTCTCGAATATACAAACTGAAAGATTCTTTTAAAAAATCAAGGAGCAATATGCATACACGAAGAGCTCAATACACACCACCTGAAGGATGGACATATTTGAAACTTGGACTTAGGGGGGGAGGGGGAGCAAGGGCAACGTACGTAACCTAAACATCTGTACCCCCGTAATATGCTGAAATAAAAAAAAAAAAAAGAAAAGAAAAATTCAAGGAGCAGAGGAACCATGGAGAAAATATTCAAGGACAAACCAGGACACCTGGGTGCACG